TGGTATTTTTGTTTAAGGGAACAATGAATGCTTATTGTCCAAGAAAATGGAATATTTTTTTTAGTGCAAGCTATAATGTAAAATCATTTCAGCATATCTTCTGGAATCTTACCGCCTTTTGCTGTACATACTTATTATTACTATTTAAGTATGACCAGCCTTTCTTCTTGCTGATCTGTCGGGCGAGGGTCCCCTCTAGGAAAACGTAGACCCAAAATCTCAACCGACAGACGGACGTCTTCCAAATTACCCTTCTTTGTCAAGCAGGGAATAGGACCACCCCACCTCCTCCCAACCTTGCAAAAACAGCATACATGCCGCACCCTAGACACAATGGAATAGTGATAAGCGCATAAGAGCTAGTTTCCAAACAATATGACTACTCTGCGAGTAGCTGCTATTCAACGAGCGGCTTTACTTTGCTATTCCATTTTTGTTTTAGACAGAAATATATTTGTATACGTTTATCCGCTTACTATAATCAAACAAAGAGACCTGAGCATGAAACACTTGATCAACTAGATAGAAACAGCAAAACTGGAAAGGGGGAAGGGGGGGCGGGGAAATGAAGAAAGAATCGATACTTCAAAGCTATAGTATTATACATCTAAATGTAGATATTCGTGTGAGCCACCTTGTCATTTAATTTTAGTCACGCAATTAACCATCTAAGATCGCAACATAGTAAAAAAAAAAGTTTTTTTAAACCTTACCGTACTACAAAAACAAGATAAAACTAGTCTTGCGAAAGTCTTCAAGGGAAGAGAAGCTTGGAAGGTGGTGTGACGCAAAACTTCGCGATTTGCCTCTCTCGAGTCGACCACTGGTGGTGATCGATGTGGCAAATACCACGGGACTTTTCCCAGGGAGTCCTACCTCCTCGTTGATGCTCCTCTGACGCGTTGACCAGCGGAGAGTTTGCCCGAGAGGCCAGGGCGATCTTGGGCAAACGACGCTACTTTAGAATTACACAGTTCCATTGACTTTGATGGCCGTCTTGAGTTACCGTAGGGCCTACTTGGACCATTAGATCAGAAGCCAAATGTTCTCTTTTCTCAATCAAAATATTAAGATTATAATTCGGAGTCGCCATCAAGATAATTTTTTTTAATGCATTCGAAAGAGCTTGATTTTATGTTGTGAAACTCAAAAATATTTTCGTCGAATTTCTCAAAACTAGGTATTGAGCAGAGAGAACTTTTTATTCTAAGGTAGCGGATGTTCTCGGTCCTGGAGACGTGCATTGTCCAGACATGCAACTCCGGTTGTTGTTTTTTTTTTTCGGTAAAAGTTTTACCGCGTTCGAAACTGCATATATTATAAAGTTGTATAAGCGTACAATCTTATAAAAAGCCAAACTTAACATCACATCGGCGCACAGTAGATCCGAACATGCACAAACTATATATTTTCAACATGGGACATCTCTCATTTTTACAGAGTTTCCTGACCGAGGAACTTTTCACTCTCCTCAAAGCCGGAAGTCAGAACTTTGCCCCCGGTGTAACCGTTCCCCAAGCCTTCCTGTGTGAGACAACCCTTACCTTCATGCTCATCTATGTGATACTTACCGCTCTCATGCCGGAGCCTGGGAGACATCCATTGTTCTTAGGACCCATCTGCATTGGTTTTGCCGTCGTCATCGCTGTTCTGGCAGGGTGAGTAAGCTTGGTGTGTCTATGTTTCGTCTCTTTTGTAATTATTTCTGTCGTTTTGGTTTGGAGAGGAGGTAGAATTTGGAGGGTGG